TGTGGATGTGTGTGGGCAATAAATGGTCTCGTTTCGTTGAATATCTGATTTGAAGTTAGTGATGAGTTATCAGCTGATGCTACCCTAGATTTCTCGAGATTAGGAGCTTCCAGCGACTCATGACCAAGCACAGTTTGTGGAACTGCTGCAAACCCTTGAGCCACGCCGTATTTGCTGGAGGAATTCATTTTAAATGTTTCAAAAGTGGGATTGTGCTCAACACCGGGTGGGGATACGTTGACACGAACAGCCTTATCCATGTCAGCTTCTGCACCACGATGCATATGAAAACAGCCAACATTGTAAAAAGCCACAACATAATATTCCATCAGAACAATGGTCAGTTTTGAGCAAACGGTAAGAGAAGTTTTATGAGGCGAGTCTACACTTATGCTATACTTGACATCATAAAATTGAACACAAAGCGAAACCAGAGTCGTTTTAGTAGGCACAGCACTCTCATTAGGAGATAAGTTGGAAGTGCAAACGGCAGGTTTGGATTGAGGATCAAGCTCTAAATCCTTGAAAATGCGACTTGCGTTATAATCAAGCTCCAATATGGGTTCGGTGAGTTCCGGATTATAGCCTATATCAGTGTCCTGAGATTTTTTTAATTGCATGCTGATCTGTTTACTAACATCTGGTAAGACAGGATCGGACTTTTTCACGGATTCAAGGAGGCCAGATACCCGTATTTTCTCTTTGTTCAATAGATAATTAAAAATGAAGCAAAATTTTGCAATATATTCTGGATAGACCCCAGAGCTAGGCAAAATGATGGGCAGATGCAGCGATTTTGGCAGATCGGCATTAGGAAGAGGATTAGGAGATAAAACAATGCAGCAGATACAGGCATCACTGATTCTACCGCAGCGGCAAGACATTAAATTCGGAGGTGCTGGCACAAAAGAATCATTTCCACCAAGTTGTCTATAGTTATAATCAAGAATTTTTGCAAAGTGTGCATCGTCCTCCAGCAAAATTTCCAAATAGTTGGCATTAAGATTAAATGGATAGGCAACATGCTGTGCAAAGTCAAGATGGCTTTTTCGTGTTGCAGCCAGATAATCGAAATTATTTGCAGGCAAAAGGCCTCGACTGATTATTTTGGGCGATAGGTGTCTCAGATTACTTGAAATGTTAGGATCAAACTTGCCCACATGAGTAATCCGAAAGTAGAGATAAAAAGTAACAAAGCACGTTAATACAACACACACACACAACTTATATTTTGAAATGTGCCTTAGCATCGAAAATCACAGTGAAAGATGAAAGAAGATTGTTTTTAGGTTAAGCAAATATACAAATATAAGAAAGGATTTAAATCAATTTTAGCATAATTGTAGCGAACTAGATGCAAAGAAGGCCAAAGCAAGCGCACTTAGGAATAAAGATTAAAACAAGCAATAAATAACTCCGACTTACATAAATTTCCTTGTTTGCATTTTTCCTTGTAAATAAATTTACGAAAGAGTAGGATATAGCCCAGGCTAGAGCACGTATGATTAGGGATACAAATAAGCTTGAGTGTATCTCGTTTCTGAGACATCGAAGAGATCTAGTGCACATATAAATTAATAAAATTTTCTTACTTGAAAGATCTAAATAATGTAAGCGCAATGCACAGACTGATAAAAGATAAGGTGTATCCAAATATGTGTATATTTTCTCTAAATGCTTCAGTTCTCTATAATAATTTAAAGTATTATGCATACAGATACGTTCGTGAGCTGACACGGTGCATAATTCGTTTTGTTTTCCCATTTTCCTGTTAAAAGACAGAATCTGCTTGCGTTTGCTGCAAATAAAAAAAATAATGCCTTTGTTACGCTAAAATTCTCTTAACTGTCAGTGATAGTTATTTTAATAAAGCATAGATGAAAAGCTACATTTTTAGCATAAATAAATCGATTAAAATATTATTACAGCCTTTAAGTCAGAATAAATAAAAGTATTATTATCTCAATGAAGAATTACTATAAGCATAATGCCAGATATCAAGCTATCTAGATGAACTGTAATATTTGGACATGCTAGGAAAATACAATAGTCCGGGCCATAATTTATACTAGATCGCTACATCTCATTATTTAGATTTTTAAGCAGGCCATTTGCGATAATAACTGTAATTTACAGATCTAGATAAGCCCCCAAGATT